CCACCAACCAAAAAAGGACTAAACTTGACCCCAAAGCTATCCATGGAGTTTTCCTTCACTACCCTCCCACTCAAAAAGCATTTTGATCCTCACACTAGAAGGAAATTTGTTACCAAGGATGTCACCTTTTTCGAGTCTTAATCTTTCTTCGAGCCTCTCTGGAGTCCTCTTCAGGGGGAGACTGGTGGGGTGGAAGAGACTTCCCCTAGGAAAAATCCTTTTATGTCTCAGCCTCCTCTTAATTCTTATTCACCTTCTTCCCCTGATACAACTCATCCTTCACCTTCTTCCAAGCCAACATCATCTCCTCTTTTTGATCCTGTCATTGCTCATCCGACCTCACAAGATGGAAAGACAAATAGGTCTAAGACCGAAATGAATGTCTATAGAAGGAAGAGAAAGCGAGAAATTGATAGATAGTCCAACACAATAGAACCAAGCACAATGAAATTGATAAACGTTTTGTTTAAGAAAGGATTATTTCAGGAGATCTTTGCATACCTTACTTGCCCTCTAGAAAAAAGCTGGCCAATGTCTTTACTAAAGGCCCATCAAAGACAACATTTCATGAATTATTGGGCAAGTTGAGCATGATAGATATCTATGCTCCACCTGAGGGGGAGCGTTGTGAGACGTAATATCTTAGTGGGCTTAAATGTTGTATTGGTTAGTAGTTGGTCTAGGTAGAGAAGGAGAGAATTTGCTGCCCCATTCTCAAAACACCTTCAAGTGTTCCATTCTCTCTTCTTCATTCTTCCTAAATAGACTACAGATGCCTTCTTTGGATGTAGTAACTTCAACTTTCAAGGAATAGAGAAGGTATCAGCATCTAAAAAGAGGATACCTAAAAGAAACTTAAACCCCAAGACTTGAGAAGGCATATGGTTAATAAGATAGGTGGCTGTTATGACAGCATCACCCAACATAGGGACATGAGTGGCAAAAAGGATGCTCCTAGCAACTTTCACATGTGTTGATTTTTCCTCTCTACTACTCCATTTGTTGTAAAGTACGGGAACAAGATCTCTGACAAACAACCCAAACTTCTAAACATTGAAGGTAAAATCTTTCTCAAAATATTCCTTAGCATTGTCTAATTGGAATATTTTGATGCGGATATCAAATTGGGTGAGTACATATTCATGGAATTGTTTTACAAGATTAGGCACTTCGACATAAGAATGCATAAACATAGTTTTCAAGGTGCCAAGGCAAGGCTAGGCGACCATGGGGCACCCAGGTGCCTAATGTGGGCACCTAGCCCTCACCTAGGCAATGGAATTTAAAAATAAGAAGCCGATGGATTTCTACCCCTTTTGAACTAGTTTCTCTCCGCCAACTTTGTATGAGCCTTAGCATCTTTTATGCATCCCCATACAATAGTCTCCATTAGCTCAATCTCCTACCCAAGAGATTTCAGCATTGAGAGGTATGACTAAGAGCTTCTCCTCTTGACTTAGATTTTTTACGTCATTCTTTAGTTTATAGGCCCTAGCAACATTCAACTTCTAGCAATAAGTCTTCGTAACACTGCCCCACACCTCCTTTGCAGTATCCATCCAAAGGTGCTGGTTGGTATGAGGTTGCATGGAATTTACTAACCAGCCTACAACTATGTAGTTTTCTTGCATCCACCTCTCATAGGCAAGACCATCCTCCTTGAGTTTCTTCCTGCTCCCAGTGATGTGCCTCCATTTCCCTCTACTACAAACATGGATCTTTATTGACTGAGACCATGCCAGATAGTTGGTTTCATCTAACTTCACTTTGGTTACTACTCATAACAGTCTCCACAAACTCTCCTTAGCCAAACCCAGAGTTTGTAGGTTGTTATGTCTTACCTCCAGTTTGCTCCATCGGCCGAATGACAACAAATGAAAATCAAAATAGGATACTACTAATCAAGAACCACTAACCTGAATCCAAACTACTCCTCAATCACCCAAAATCAGGGTTTCACATAACCCGACAACCTGGGAAAAAGAGAGAAAGTGTAGCCACTGCTACAAGGAACTCCAAAACTCTTTCCAACCTAAATCAAACTCAATGTAGGTCAAAAAACTTCCCTTCAAGCCCCAAGCTTCAAACTTTCTCTAGAACCCTATTAGTTAAGATTTTTGGGAAAATCTCCAATAACCTATCTTGGGCCTCAAACTAAGAGTGTATTCTTCTCCAAAAGCCTCCCCCTATTGGTCTGTATAAGCTGTCAACCAATCAATTCTTCATACACAATGCATATGGGCCTAAAAAAAGAAACTGGATAAGGTGGGAACCTGCTATAATACCAAGTTGTAAATCACACCAGAAATAAACCTGAAATTAAACCAAAAGAAAAGGGAAAAAGGAGGAAAAAGAAGACGTTCAGAAGGAGAAGAGAATGGAAGAAAAGGGAAGAAGAGAGCTGATCATATCTCTCTCTTTCCCTCAATTGAATTATATATGCTAAATATAAAAGATGAGAAAATTACATGAGTCCCCCTAGATAAGTTGGCTAACTAAAAAGCATAAGAAATGACAAAAAAATGCCCATAAAGAATGCCCCCTACAGCTGAAATAAAACTTATGAATAAAGGGAAAAAAAGTTAAGGCCCACTTGGCCCAATCTCTCTACAGATACTAATAATGCCAATAACCTCCTCAACTCTCTTTTCTTTGTCACTGAACAACCTTGAATTTCTTTGCTCCAAAATACACCATAGGACAGCTGCCCTTGTGCATCTCTAGAGAAATTTTCAACTCTTCAAAAAAACATAGTATCAAATAAAGTCTTCAGCTCACCAAATCCAATTGGTCCTGAGAACATTGCCCAGCAATTAATAATTTAATAAATGAATTTTTCTTTGTTGATAAAAAAAAAATAAATACATAAAGACTTCAAGCTCTTCCTAAGAACTTGAAGCCCCCTCTCTCTAAATATATTATAAATAAATTCATTTACAAGACAAAAAAAACTTTTTCAAGYGCAGCGAAGAAAACGTAAGGCCCTGCAAGAAAATGGCTGTGCTAATGTGCAGCCTTTTGAAGCAGCTAGCAGCATGATGAAAAGCCGTTGCAGCAAGATTCAAAACGGATGCACGCGCTAGCGCGCTGCCGTTGCGCTGGCTGCGCTACCGCGCAACGGCTTGAGCGCTAGCGCTCATGGAGTTGCTTGTTGCGCATCCGTTTTTCATCATGCTGTTAGCGCAACGGCTTGAGCGCTTGCAGGTGATAGGCATTTTCGCCATTTGCTTTACACAGGAGACAAATATGTGGGGAAATCTATTTCCCTAAACTCATGCTTATAAATCCATGGCACGAGTTGTTTATTCCTGGCCCAAGAAATAATCAGCTTTGGGTCTCCCTCTACTTCCAAGTGCTGAAAACTTAATTGTCTAACAAGTCTTAAGCCTTGCATCAGCGGCATCAGTTCAGCTTTTAGTGAATCTCCCAGCCCCAAAGGTCTTGAAAACATAGCCAACACTTTCCCTGTACAATCTCTAAATACTCCTCCAATACCTGCCATCCAGTGCTTCCCATGGAGCTCCCACCATTACCAGCCCGAGATTTTACATGGCAATCTTTAATGACATAAAAATTTTGTAGTGTTGGTTTATGTTTCTCTTATAAATTTCTGAAAATCAATAAACTGTTTTATTGATAGTTAAAAATCAATAAAAATTTTCAAAGAACTGCTACCATTTTTACAATATTTTAGCATGAAATTTCCAACATGTCACTTTTAAGAGACTGGTAATTCTAACATTGCCAACTTTTTGAACCTTGATCCTCAAAACAATGTATATCCATCATTGTTTTTTCATCTTTTTTGTTACAATGCTTTTCCTTCCAAAAACAGGGAATAAGGGGTGTGACACAATGACTTCTCAAGAGGTCACCATCCTTGTAATACTCTCTACCAAGCACGCTTAACTTTATAGTTCTGGTTGGATCGAATGCTTTTAGAACTTTTATGATGTATCATTTTTCCTTGTTGTCCACCAAAATAGGTAGCCAAAGAAAATTTGTCAGTCCTGGATCAGATGAAAAGTCAGAAAATTCATTGGATCACTAATTTATTAAATAGAAATTCAATCTTTCAACCCATGGAAATCATCAAAGAAATGGGACTGAGAAAGCTCACTAGGTTACCAATTCACTATATCCATCAGATCCAATCTGAGTCTAATACTGATTTCTAAAGTTACTTCATTTTAAGTTGATCTCTGTTTTTTAAATATTTTAAATTGAAAAAATCTATAAATGTGAAAAAACAGGTCCTTATATGCAGAACAAGGGTGCACCAATAACCTCTCAAAGATACTAGCATATTTCCACATATACCCAGTTACCCACCCCGCACACACATAGCACCCAAAAAGATACACTAGAAGAAATAAAGCCCATCAAAGATTAACCTTTCTAGAATCAGTTTCATTCGGGGAAAAAACAGAGAAAGAAACCCATCAAAGACAAATTCTCTTATCACATCACTTTAAATGAACTTTCACTGCTAAGTCTGTCAAAGAGTAAACCGTTATTACACTCTCATCAGAAACTGTTCAAGCTATTCAATTATCAAATACAGTTTCCTTTCTTCTTTTCCAATTTCATAACATTTTTAGTTAGAATAATAGCTCCTCCCTCAAAACACCCCGATCACCATCATCGAACAAGGAACCGGAACTCTTCAAACTACAAAATTTCATCTTCAAAGCTCATTTTAGAAACTTTTAACTTAAAAGAATTTTAGGCTTAAATTGACACCTGAATCTTCAATTCTCACTGCAAAGAGAACGATTTTTGCTCTCCCAGAGACAGTTTCATAATTATTCAGTGAAATAAAAAAGAGAGAAAAAAACAAAGCAAAAGTCATGTATTTGTCAACTCACCCCACCTTAAGAATTCAAAAATACGAGCTAAATGCCTAAACTTAATGCTATCGTAAATAAATGATAAATAAACTTGATCAAAGTTTAAAATTTCAAAAAAAAAAACAAAAGAAAAGATGAATAAAAACTTACATCGGGGTTAGAAGTTAGAACTTAATATGCAAGTTGGGCGCATTCTGACCTCAAAAGCTCGTTTTATTCGCCTCCTCCACCGATCTCTGAGCTTGAGCTTCAACTTGCTCTGTGGCAGATTTTGATTGGGATTTGGGAAGAACGATGAAGAAATGCCTCTGATCTCGGGCTCCAAAGGTTAATCCAACGGCAAATACACCTCGTGGACTTATAGACCTACCTGGTCTGCAGCATTCCAGCTATAGCATAGCAGTACTCACGGTCACAACTCAACTCTAATTGACATGGACGACGGTATAATTTTGGGGCTGCCAATGGATCGGGTCTAGCTGATATAATCGAACCGATTACGCCGGTTCTTATTCTTTGCCTCTTTGGTTTTGGACCGGTTCTCACTGATTCAGACCATGGTTTTGAAAACCGGATCAGACCTAATGGTAGGACCAAAAAAGGGAACCAGTCAGGTAACCAGTTCCATTTCACCCTATAACCACTTTTTGGCCAAAAATCGTTGATTTTCCCATTGCCATGGGCAGTCAAACTATCAAATTGTCAACCTAAACAATGGGTTTTGACTTTTTTTTATTTTTTGTAAGTCATAATGGGTTGTCCGTTCAAACCAAATGATCAAACTGTTTAACCTGAGAACCAATCCCCATAATGATTTCTTATTTGGTCCAATTTTAAAAAGGGAAAATTCCACTTATTTGGTCCAAACTTTCAAACGTGTCACTATAGTACTCAAACTTTCAAAAAAGTGTCAAGTTGGTCTCTACTATTAATCGACCGTCAGTTATCTAATCACATGCTGACATGTGCAATTTAAAATTTTTGAAAATGTCAAAACTATTAAAAAAAAGATACTATTCATTATCTTTTACCTTGAGACTATTCATTGTCTTCTACCTTTAGATGGTAGCCCCCCTCTAACCAGAACGGGAAGGAAGAGAGAACCAGGCGAGGCCAAACGACACTCTCCTCCTTCCCCACCTCACTCTTGTTTCGTGTTACGGTGGTTGTTGGTTTTAGTTCATAACAAGCTCATGGACAGCCAACGTAGCGCTCCTCTTCGTCTTAAATGGAGAACCATCAGGGAGGAGAGAGAGGGAGAGAGAGAGAGAGAGAGAATGTGGGCAAAAAATTTTCTATCTACTTTGACAAAATTTGTAGTGTTCCCATCTAGTTAGAGACGACTAGGGCTGTTCACGGATTGGGTTGGGTCGGTTTACTGAGATTTTTCCAATCAACCCGACCTAGTCAGGTTACCTAAAATTAAAACCGAAATTGACCCTGTGTTAAGCAAAACCAACCTGATCAGTTTGAGTCGGGTTGAGTCGGTTTGGGTCGGCTTCGGCTCTAAGTTCAACCATGCTTGAGAGTCAAATTGTATTAGAGATTGTGCTTGAGTTGAGGGGCTAAGGGGGGCGGACCAAGTTAGAATAGAAGTTATCAAGAAAATAGAAAGTCAAACTGTATTAGAGAAAGAAGACTGAAATTTGTATATTTCAAAAAACCTTCTAATCTAAGTAAAAAATGACACCTAATTATAATTGCAATTGGTTGCCTATTTGGTGTAAAAGACCATAGAAATTAGGATCCTTTGATTCTTTTCTTTAAAATTTTTCAAAAAAAATCATTGTCTAGTTGTCTTACAATACTTGCCATTAATGTCATTCCTAACTAAAAGGCTAGAAATTAAGTTAGGTTGTAACTAGGATAGAGACAACTTAGTTAAGTAAGAACTAAGTAGGTTGTAACTACTAACTACTAAGTTGGTTCGGATCGGATCGATTTATAATTTTTTACAACCCAAAACCGACCGGTACTGAAGAAAACCCAGCCAACTCAGATTGGGTCGATCCGGGTTGGTCGATTTGGTCGGGTTGGATTTTCTTATGAACAGCCCTAGAGACGACAAACAGAGATTTTCTATCTACTTTGACAAAACTGGTAAAGTTCCTATCTACCTTGAGAAATGGTATCATTCTTGTGTTCTAGCAAAATTCGGGGGAGAGAGAGATAGAGATGAACTAGTAAAAATTATGACCTGGTAGTTTTTCCGGATGGGTATTTTAGTATTATAAGATCACAGGTTATGCGGTATTTAAATAAATTTAATCATATGATATATATATATATATATAATATAAAGGCATCGTATTTTTTTCTTAATTTTTGTTACTCTCATATATGACATATGACATTTGGATTTAGCTTTTATGATTTACACAAATATAAGGCAAATATCATGCTTTTAAATCAGTTGGGGATGATAGTATTCATCGGATTATTACAAAACCTAGGGAGCTATCGTATGATTTATACATATTTTTTTATTACAAAAGTGCTCATTTATAGGGGTGAGAATTTTTTGGTTAAAACAAAAAATTTCGATTTTGATTTTTGGTTAAATGGGTTCGATTAACCAAATTAACCAAACTTTCTATTATTATTATTAGATAGTTTTGTATGCCCTTAGCTCCAATCAGTTTTGTTGTACTTTTGACATTTAGTGTAAATRAATAAAGTACATGTTTGATTCATGTTGTGTGGTATATTTCTGTGTAAGACCCTTAAACTGGACA